AAGGGGATAAATCAATTAATTAGGACTTTGATTATTATTTTATAGCTGATATTGCAAAGTGACATATGTCTATATTGTTAAACTTTTTTAGGTGAAAGGATCTTAGGGATGATAATTATGTTGCTATGGTAATAAATATCATTCATGGAAGAAGGATTGGACATAAACAGTAATATCTTTATGCAATAGTTTTTAGTATGATTTATAAAATAAAGAAGGTATGTTGGCTGGCCTTGGAGCTACGTTAGAGCCTATACTTAAAGTGCCTTATAGATTTCAATTTTATGAGGAATAACACTAAGGCTATCATCTTTTTTATTTCCTAGGATGAATATAAAAAAATTGACTTGAAAACCATCACCAACGATATCCCGATAAAAGAAGATAACATGCAGGACTCTTGTCCTCGACGAATTAAGCCCAATATGGAAACAAACACAGTTGATCGTAGGCCCTAGTTCCTGAAGTCAACCCGACAACCTTTAAGGAGTTTTAACTTGCTCGTCCAGGATTGGGTTAGCAATGCGGTCGATGACGAAACACGAAGGGAGGTCCAAAGCACAGTGCGAAGATGGAAGACATGTGCGACGTGTAAATTACCTGTGGCACGTGATTGATAAGCATTACAATCCACCCGTACAGGTTGATAGCTCAGACGCAGGAAGTAGCAAGTGAATGTGCGGCTGGAATAACCCACACGCCCCGCGCACTGCATGCGCGCAAGACCCGAGCGGCATGCACACGACCCCTGCACATGTGCGCACTTGGGATCGCTCATCTGTGCACAACCCGCTACTCGGGATTCCCAGTCGACTGCCCATATGGACAAGCCCGCGGACTAGCCTGCAGATGGCCCAAGGGCCCAAGCCCGCTAGCCTGCGATTCCTGTGGACTTTCTCCTACGCAACCCCCATGGACCGTCTGGCCGATCCCTCTTTTCTTTTATTTTAAAATATTATTTAATATTTATTTTATTTTAAAACTCTTTTAAAAAATCTTGTGAACCACTTTTTAAATACTGTGTTAAAATTAATTTGCACATGTTTTTTTAATAAATTTCACATGAGATAAATATGAATTTAAATTAAATATTATTTTACTTATAAATTTATCTCTTAAAATTATTTAATTAATTTATTTGGGATAGGATAATTATTTTATTTTGTATTTATTCTAGATTAAGATAGAATTATATCTAAATTATTATTTTATTAATTATCTCAAAATTTTTGTACTCATCTAAATTGTTCAAGAAATGCTATAAATAGACATTTGGTCCTAGGATGTAAAGCACACATTGGAGAATAAATTTGAAAGAATTCTTTAGAGCTTTGATTTTTCTTTCTTTTAGCATTTTTGGTCAAATTAGCTTTTTCAAGTTTTTCAGGAAGCAGGAGTTTTCAGAAATCTTGTTGAGCCAAGAAGCAGAGATCAATTTATCGGTAAGTCCGTGACGTTTTTTCTTTCTTTATTTTATTTTTTTAATCTTTATTTTTGCTTTTCTTTTAGGATTGTAGAACCAATTAGAGAGAGAAGTTTAATTTAGCTGGTTATTGTTTCGGTATTGCATACGTTGAGTGAATTTCAGAAGTAGATTCAATCTTTCCCATACCTTCTCGCGTCAGAAATTGTAAGCCTGGATGGGGAGGAGTGGAGATGACATTGACCTTTGAAGTACGTATTAGTAAAATTTTTGAATGGTAGTAATTATTATTATTATTATTATTTTTGTTTCCTAGTTGTTGCATTGAGGTAAAAATATGAGGTACCTCAATTACCTTTTTGTATCTAGTATTCTTTAAAACATTATTTCCAATTATGCTAATTGGTAAGAGCTTTTCTCCACTAATAGACACTAAAATTAAATTAGAAGTTGGAAGAAAAGTAAGATTAGGACAAATACATAAATCGATAATTAAAAATATTTTAAAATTTTCCATTTGGATGGCTCCTCATGGGTCTTGTTCAAGATCTAATTTATTCCTTGACATATCTAAATTGATTGTTATCTAATTTTTACGCTTTTTAAGTCTAATTGAATCAAGGTATTAAGTACTACTAGTCCAACCAAGCATTGTTCTTCAACTAATCTACTTTAATACTAAATTTTAAGATAATTAGTAAGATTTATTTTGATCTTAATTAATCAATAATTCATAAGGTGGTAATATTCCAATAAATATTCTCTCCACCGTTTGGCGACCATTAAAAGTGTCAAATTACCAAAAAAAAAAAAAACCTCATTTACTTGGGCTCTTAAATTGAGCACATCAGCTAACCTACCACACTAGGATAGTTTGGCCCACCAATTAAGATAATTTTTAATTTAATATTTTGAATTTTTAATTTCTAATTAACCATTACATGATAGAATAATTAGTTAGTTAGTAATTTTTTCATTAAAGTCGTAAAATGGAGGAGGAAGACAAGTAAACAACATGTAGTCAAAGAGATGATGAAGAAATATAGAAAGAGGGGTGTATACAGAACTCTATTTCATCAAAGGGTAAAATGGTTTCTTTTCTATCCTGTCAGGTTTTAGCTTTTCTTTTTTTCTTTTTCGTTGTTGGAAGATTTACAAAATTATTTATTGCCATGGATAAACTAAAATAAAATGAAATTTAAATTTTGGATTGTAAACAAATATTGATTCTCTCAAAATTTCATCTCCTAGTATATGTTTTTTTGGATGCCCTTCTAACCTCATTGAAAAAGGGACTATGACTTAGAAGAGACTGAATTCATTGGCAATAAATTGTTCTCTCATGTAACCTCCATTTCATGTTTAAAAGCCAAGAGAAACATTAATCATTAGTGGGTGCATGGATAAATTATTTTATAACATATCTAAAGTTCTTATAATACACATGAGTTAAATAAGTGTATTGATTATATGATGAAGAAAATAGCCATAATACTGGTGCATGAGAAGAGACAACTTAGAGTTATTCTTAATTGAAAAGTCTTATATAGTAGTTTATTAACAGGTCATGCACTTTTATTAAAATACACATCATACTGATAAATTATTTTAATATGAATTTTTTTTATTTGTATAAATATTATAATTTGTTATTTAAGTTATTTTATACAGTAGATACAAATAAATATGATAGTTCGTTCTTAATAATAAAGTAAAAGAAATTGAGTTCACCGATAATTAGATAATGTAACACTCAATGTAAGATTTTTTTATGTTATCAGTGGTGGCAAAACTAAAAATTGAGGGCACACATAAAAGATATGCTGAGATATATAACATAAAGCACGTAAAAACATTAAGTTAGGAAACCAAAATGTTAGATCTTAGATGAGGATATGCCATTTATTTTATATGACCATTATCACATTAGCAGTTGTTAAAGCTAACGCATATGTCTCATGATTGTTACAATAATTATTATGCTCATTACACCATTCCAATAAACACATATAATTACAAATGTCAATATAATTTCTCTAAATAAGTAACTATGAGTATGATGGAAGCACTTAGCTCTCGTAAACCTCTAATTATTTTCTTAGCTATCTAATAGAATTTACTTGAGTGTCGAATTAACTCTCAATATAATATCTATGATAATTGTTTATTTTTTTTTATGTAGATTATCAAATTACAGTATAAAAATCTAGTTATAACCTAGTTAGTACATGATCAAGATTGACATTAATTATTGGCATTAGTTGTGGAAACCTAATTGTCTAATGACTAAAAACTTTTAATTTGGGAAAAGGCTATATTAGTGGATTAAAGAGCAAAATCATTAGATAAGATACTTTTAACATTAAATCTATTATAGTCAAAATTATCTTTTTGCTTATATAAAAAATTACCCTCCCTCTCAAATGAGGCGTCTTTTATTGGATAAAACCCCAACAACATTTCACTACTCAACCAGAAATTCCCTCTGCCCCTACCATACTCCAGTTTGGTAGTTTCCTATCCAGGATTGAGCCCTTGCATTTGATGATGGATTTAAAAAGATACCTACAAATGTTTTACACCCAATCATTTTAAATAACACTTGCATCCTCTATATTATTGTAATTGGTGGTACAAAGTTAACCGATACTTATTCTTTAGATATTATAATTACTTTTTTTCTAAAAAAAAGTTCACGACCCGTGAATCTTCTATCTCCACGCGGAATTGCTCCGTGATGCTTTCCCCCATTGTGGAAAATTATCCACTGCTATTTGTCATAGGAGTTTGGGTCGTGTCTTAATATTAGTGTGGCTGATCATCATCTCACCTAAGTTTAATAGACTCCTGCCACATCAAATAGAAATATAGTACTATATTAATTTATATATATATTTTTTACAAAATAAACCGTCTTTAAAATTTTATGTAAGAAAAACTTTAAAACATTAAGGAATTTAAATAATTAAAGTACATATCTTCATTCAACAATTTATTTTGAGTTTTTTCGTTAATATTTTGTAATATTTAATTTTAACTTTGAGTTTGATTTAAATTCTAATTTTATAAAATAAGAATGAGAACATAATACAAATACAATAGAAATTAGAATCAAAATAGTAATTTAATTTCAAATTAATTTCATGTGCAGTTGATCAATTTAAGTATGTTTATGATTCATTCATTAACAAAGGAAAATATAAATTATGGTTATAGAATTAAATAGATAAATAAATTTATAAATTAAGATTAAAGATAAACAAAACTCAAACAAACAGGTTGGAGCCCCAATAACAAATACAGAAACTTTATATTACATTATTAATTTATTACCAAAGAATTAAGATATCGGATTTATTAAAAAAGAAAAAAGAAGAAGAAAGATAATCCAAGAGGTGGGCCCGGAACTGATGGCGAGTCTAACCATGACGGATATGCCACGTGGCAAGCAACTGAACTTCCTTCATAGATCTGAGCAAAAACATAGGAGTAATACCCAGTGAATGAAATCTTAACCCAAATTTAATTTCATATTTAAAAAAACAATAAATACGAAATTCAGTGGATATATATTTAGAGAATAGAGCTAAAATATTTAGACACTGAGGGTCCTAGCGAGACTGTCAAATCTACATATTCTCTCTCTTTCTCTCTCTAAAACCCCTCTCTCTCGCTCTCTCTCTCTCTCTCTACAATTCACTTAACTCACACATGGATTAGATTAGAGCCTGAGATTCGATTCAATCGCCGATCTTTTCCTCTCTTCCTCGGGAATCCATCGTCTCCTTCTCTCAATCCCAGAATATAATGTTCCAGATTTTCAAGGTACCAATATTATATGCGTCTATCAGTATCTGTATACATGTGTTTTTAACAAAACAAGGTGTATGTATAATTAATTAAACAAATATATATATATAATTCCTCTCTTTCTTTCTTTTTTTGTTTCTATTCGGACTTCAGCCAGTTTAACGGGTTCATGGATTCCATTTTTATATATTTTTCCTTTATCTTAGTATGACTCTCATCTTACCAGCTTCCTCTTTATGTTTCAATACTGTTTTTTCGTAATTGGTATTTTGGGAATTTTGATGACCAGTGTGGTTTACATATGACCATATTTTTATTGCTTTTTTTTTTTTTTTCTCACTCATGGCTTTTTCTGGGGAGATCGTCATGTGCTAATGGGGATTCTGATTGTTTGTGGATTCTTCGTTAAAATTACTGGTTTTTTTTTTAATTTATTTTTGTCTAGTTTAGGAATTTTTGCTTCTGCTATTGCAAGTTTCCATGTACGGGTTTTTTGACGTTTGAGTTCGCAATTTGGTCCTTTCTTTTCTGGTATTCCTGAAATTTTTTAAAAAACTCTTTCGGATTATTTATGGAGTTTTCGTTCGTTTTCTTAATAATCAAATTGTCATCATATTTTTGGGGTTTTCTTCTTTTTTATTTTGTTTTAAATCGTTTGTGATATTGCTTGTAAAGATTAATAATGCTGTCTGTGCAGTAGCGTACCCCCATGGGGCTCATCTTCTCCGCATCATTGACTGGATTTTTTTTTTTTTTTTTTGGTTTCTTTCAGATTCTTCTTTGAAACTCTGTGCTTTAGGTGGGTATTTTCTGAGTACATTAAAAAAGGTTCCCTTTTATGGAAATGGGATCTGCTTTTTCACATCTCATCATAAATAACAATAACAATGACAACAACAGCGAAAAAAATAAAGAATAAAAACACTAATAATAGTAGTAATTGTAATAAAATAATTGTTGTTGTTGTATGATCCCTCTGTGAAAAGTAAAACCTGTGGAGGTCATGATTTCTGCTACAGGTCTTGTCTCATATGCACAATGCCTTAAACAATGCCCAAGGTTCTCATCTTATGTCTGAGTTTTGGCTAATACGAAGCATGAAGAAAATACAAAATGAGAGGATATGATTATGGGTATTCATTAAATTAAGCACATATGGCTTGACAGACAGGGTCTCATTATCTGTTCCTTTTCTCAATTTGTTTCTTTTTTTTTTCCTTTCTTTTTTTTTTGTGTTTCTTGATGCAGGACTGGTTCTGATTTTGATAGAGTTCTGACCCAAAAAAAAAAAAGAAGGAAAAAAACAAAAGAGATGGACGGTGAGACATTCTCAGGACTAGGCAATGGCACCCAGATTGATAGCAAGATCTTGCAGACATTTCAAAAGAGCTTTGTTCAGGTCCAGAATATCTTGGATCAGAACCGGCTGCTCATCAATGAGATAAACCAGAACCATGAATCCAAGATCCCTGACAACCTCAGCAGGAATGTGGGTCTAATTAGGGAGCTCAACAACAACATCAGGAGGGTGGTTGACCTTTATGCTGATCTTTCCAGTTCCTTCACAAAATCCATGGATGGTTCATCAGAAGGAGATTCCAGTGGCGCTTTGAAATCAGATGGCAAAGCTGGGCACAAGAGAAACAGGCCTGCTTAGTGAGTTTGATGGTTCTTAAAATTCTTTTCATGGTGGTGGGAGTACAAAGAAGAGAGAAGAATCTCAACAATTTTTTGTTGGGGTAAAAGAGCACGGTTAGATTCTGTAACCCTCTTGTATCAGTGAACTGTCTCTAGTTATCCACTCACTTCTCACATTTGTTAGAAATAATTGCCCAAAATGTCCTGTCCCATTGTAACTCTCTGTAACTGTGGATCTAATTGAATCAAGCATGTTTCTGTTAATTTCTAATCTTGCTACTAATTCTCCTGATAATGGATAACAAGGTCACAAGTGGATAAATCTTTTTCTCTCTTCTTGCTTTTTCCATGTATTTGTCAATTTAGTAAAGTGTTCTTTGATTTTAACTGGACTATATCTGTAATGATAATAATGTGATGCAATTAGGACTTTTTGATTTAAGGTTAAGAGCTTTTTAGTTTCTTTTTTTTAACTTTTTCTCTGTTTTGTCAAAAAGGTTGATATCATTTATGGATCTTGATATTTTTTTTCCCCCCTCAATCAGTCTCTTTTCATGAAGCTTCATCATATACTTTTGAAGAGAAACTCTTCACAAATACCCTTTCGTTCCTTTTTTTTCTTCCAACTCACCACAAAGCAAATTCCTCCTGGAGGACCTTTGCTTAGAACTGAAATGAAGAGATTGCAGATACTGTTTTCATTCCTCTCCTATGAAAACCAAAGCTGCTTTTGTTTCCTTTCTCTGTACTAACAAGTCATTGTTCATGATGCTTTTGTGGGTGTTTGTGTGTTTTTGAACTGAAACATTCATGCATACATCTCTGTGAAGATGCTCTGAAAAAATTGTAAGAAAGCAGCTTTAGATAATCTTTTTGGCTCCCAATCACACACCACCACAAGAACAGAATCTTAGATAAGAAATGATGAGCTTTTTGACTCTTTCTTCCTTTTTTTTTTTTTTTAAATATATATAAATACACATTGTTTTAACCCAATACCACCAACCAATCGTTTGGAGTTATTATTATTATTATTATTCTATTTTTTAAGCCATCTATGAGTTATATAATATCAGAAGCTACCTCTTTGATTTTTTTTTTGAAGCCTTTAGACTTTAAACTGTATTTAATCTTGGACTATATACATATAAAAATAATTAGCTAGCTTTATTCACTTGATTAGTGTTTGATAGAGGAAAAAGTAGAAGCAATTGTGTAGGTAGCTCTCAAGGACAGACATTTATATTATGTACATGCGTGTGTATAAACAGTGATCCCTAACAAAATGAGAAGGGCCCTCAAAGCATCTCATAAGGGATGGAACTGAAACTTTTTCCATGCTTATCCTTTGCTCTTCTTAGGTTATATCTCCTTTTCCTTTTCAAATTAATTTTCATCTTAGCCTCTTTTATGTAATATTTATGAACATATAGGCCATAGGCTGTGTGCGTGATTGATCAGCAGGTGTCTCTGTTTTGGGTCCCAGCTTATGGCAGCCTCATATCCTGACTGATCTTGGGAAGGAGAAGGCCCACATGAGCGGAAGGTATGCTGGAAATGGTTTGTTTTTTTGGTTTAGATTTTTCAACTTCACATACCCACCTGCTTCTTAACAATTCAAGTCATTGTACGTGTATGTATATATATATATATATATATTATACTCATTTTCATACATATATTATCACTTGTATTTCCTTTCATTCAACACTGTTGAACGTAGGCATTCAAGCCATTTACCATCTACCATTATCACTCCTTTTGTCTGTCATGGCACTTTTTGTTGTATTTGAAAACTCAGTTGTGCTGCCATGCAACTTTATTCTGATTACCAATTGGGCTATGCCCAACTCATCGATTCAATCATATCTATATTTCTTTTAAACTTAGTTTTCTTCAAAAATATGCAATACATATATTTTGTTTTGGATTGTAATTTATTAATTAATAATGTTATGCTTTGTTTTGGATCTAATAACAGTGACATACCATAATTTACAAGGTCTGTACATAATTTATAGTTAGATTTAATAGAAAAAGGTTCATCAATAAATAAATTCACAATTTATCCTCACACAGAAATTTGTTACGTGCCCATGTTCTTTGAATAAATCCATTATGGTAAGGTAATTAATTTCATTATTGAAGAGTTATTTTGCTCCTTTGACATAAACAATTGTACATAACAATTATTATTATTATTATTATAGTTATTACTAAATAATAATAATAATAAAAATAGAGTTGATATGAAAAATTATTCTTTTTATAACAAAGATTAATTTTCCCTTAACAAACCAACACATCAAACCTTGGTATGCTTACATTTTTTTTTTCTTGTTTTTTAATAAACAAAAAAATATAATAGATCAATTATGATTAATCAAATCTTATAAAGAAAAGAAACATAACAAATTATTTATCTCTTTCGAATCTTATCACAAATACAATCTCTTCAAGAGGATGAAACATGATGGTATAAAGAAATTTTACTTGGTCACTCGGCAGAAATAATAAAAATCTATTTCCTATGAAAGTTCTCAAGAAATAATTGATAATTTGGTTGAAGTTATAGAAGACGATTAAAGGTGTCAAGTAGGACAAGGTTAAAACTACCATAATAAAATGTTTGCTTCTAAGGTAACACATATAGATTTTGGAAAGTGATAGTTATGCGGGAATGATTAATTGATCAGTTCATTATGGTAACGGAAGTATGGAAAAATGAGTATTTTAACCCAAGTCATAGTAGTGACTTTATGTGGAAAATAAACAAAAATGATTAACGAATATATAAACCAAGTGTATCTTTTACGTTATAGGTCAAGTCAGGTTAATGAAATTTAGAATTAATATAATATTACAAGGATAGCTTCTTAGACCATTTGATTATAAATTATATGTAGTCCTTAAATTGTGTCTATGAGATAAAATATCCAAGACTTCATTTAGTTGAAATGAAATATGGGCATTAATAGTTTGAGACTTAGTCCATATCCACATATGAGATCTATGATAAGACATGCTAAGAAAGTTTCTCTTACATCGTAAACTTTACTCGTGTATTTGATAAAGCAAAAATCTAAAACTTTCGTGATATTCGAAAAGCTTAAGACAAAAGTCTAGGAAGAGACTAGAATGAGTACTAATGTTTGTTCATCGATTTAGAAGGGGAATACTTAATTTAGGAGTTCTTAAATTATACGAAAAATGAGATTTTTTCACGCTAAAATTCTCTAAAAATACCCCAATCAAATAGAATATTAAAGGAGAGGAACCATATTTATTAAATATGATTGATCCATGATGAGTTATATCATTTTTCTTATCTTGTTTTGGGGCTATGCCTTAAGAACCACTATCTACATACTTTACAAAGTCTTTAGAAAGATAGTGCTTAAGCCATTATGTGAGATATGACATCGTAATCAAGATCAGGACATTAAAGTGATAAGTGTATCTTTCTTTGTATTCCATATATGATACTTGGTGCAGTCTTTCTTCCTATGTCCATTAATCTTTTTAAAAAAAGAAAAATCCCCATTTTGTTGTTTTTGTTTCTTCCTTTGAGGTAGAACACCTGCATCATCCTTATTTCTATACATTTTATTAGTTTTGTCTTTAGAGGTTAATGTTAGGTAAGCACTTTAGTATTCTTATACTAAAGCCTTTGCTCTTCTAGCACACAATGAGATATGAGTTTATTCATATTCCATTTGTCATTTTAGCAATTATAACTGACCTTGAATTAATTATACTGTGAAGGAAAAGATATAAAAACCAAATGCATGAACAAGTCCTCATATAGCTTTAACTTTAATGTTTTTAGTTTTGAAGTGAGATTAGACATCTCAATCATATGCTCTTTTATGTTTCCATTTCTTTTATACCTCGTTAAGATAGATTAGCCAAAAATTTACTTATCTCAGCTTTTTTTTTTTTTGGCAAAATAGTTTTCAATTTCCTCAAGAAATAATTTTGCATCAATCTCCTTGTACATAAAGCCCTTGAAAGCCATTTTCATCTTAACAACCATAAGAGTATGCAATAGAAGGGTCCCACTTCTTAAAGACAATTTTTTTTATCCTCATTAAAACTTTCAGATGGAAGAATAAAGGTGTCATTTTGTTCAAAGTGCAAGGTCTAAATCCATGGAACTTAGAGCAATCTTAATATTCTATTTCTAAATCCTGAAATTTAAATCATTTAGCAGATGGATGAAATTGATACTTACATATATGATAAAAATAGAAGAATTAACTAAATAGATAATAACCCAAGCTCAAAAATTATATAAACATGTGTATCAACCTTAATTATTAAATTTAAATGAAGGTGGATCTCATATAAAAATAACTACTGTAACATTAGCATTAAATCTTTGAATACAACTACTACCTTATGAATGGTATTTTATATGTGATAGTCAAATATTAACAATAAATTACGATAAACAACAAGCCTTTTGTGAGATTAACTTGTTATTCACATGGAAAAACTTGATAATCATCACAGATTTATTACTATAGGTATGCATCTAATTTAGCTAAAATATCTTCCTCTGGACCGACCAATATATGTATGAATTACATACATACAATTATTTTAATATTCTAAATAAATTAATTTATACACGAAATTACTTTGGTAACATGTAGTTTGAATCAATTTATTTGAGAACAATAGACATCTATATTCAATAATCATATTAAAATTTGAATCTAAAAGAAATAGTTTCAGTATTCGAAGCTACGAAGGTGCTGCATTGCTCAAAATTTTGGCACTATTTGTCCTTGTAGTGACTAGGAACTGTAATACTCATCTTACATGTCGTAGTGATGTCCTAGGATTGGCTAGGTGTTGCTACGTGTATTTTTAGTGCTACAACGTTGGCCTAGCATGCTATGCGTATTTTGATTTATATAAGTTGTTGTCTTTAGTTAACTCTCCATCCATCTTTTCATTCTTTCATAGCATTAATAGACATGTATACCTTTATTTGATTTAGATTTAGATAAAGTCTTGTTTCTTTCTTCCATCAAGGGGTCATCATCAATGTTATTTTTTCATACAGTATTAGTCTCCCTTTCTCTCGCAGTAGTATTCTCCTTTTCTTCTGTGACTTTTTTCTCTTTTCAAGTGATTTATTGATTCTTAGTTGATAAATGAGTTAAAATAAGTTTTC